TGGGGGGTGGGGGGCATGGGACGTGGGAATTGTATACTATTGAAGGAAATTTTTTTCTCTTCGGAGGGGGAAGCGAGCTGGTGGGGAGGGGGGAGGTGATGGGGGAGGGGTGATGGGGGAAGGGGGAGGGGGGAAGGTGGTGATGGAGGGGAGAGGCGGTGATGACCTCTAGGAGCGCCAGGCGTAGGACCAGGGAGTGTGCCAGGGGCACTGTGGTTCACGGGGCTCCAGATGGGAGAAAGGTGATGATTGAACAGAGGGCAGAATTCACCTGGGCTTGACAGGAATGCAGGGCAGCCACAGGCTTCCTGACCCGGCCGGGGGTCTTGGCAGAGGAGAGCTTGAGGTTGGAGCTGCAGGCCACTATCCTTGCCCTGTCCCCTTTCACCAGATGACCCTGTGAATGAGCTGGTCTCCCTCTGGGCAGGACACCCTCCCCTTCCCCAGGTGACACAGTAAGATGACCTGGGGTACCTGCAGCAGGACAGCTGCCCCTCAGGTGACACAGTACAGAGACCCTCATGCCTTCCAGGCAGGCAGGAACTTGTCTTGGGGCAGGATGGCACGTCTTTGACCTGATTCTCTCTTCAGGGGAAGTTTCCCAAAGGCGACAGGGCTGAGGATGGCTTCCATGGCGTCTCCCCCGTGAACGCGTTCCCCCCACAGAATAACTATGGTAAGATGGTGCATCAGCTGGTGCTGGATGGAGGGGAACACCCTCACCACCGCCTCGGTCCTGGAGGGTGTGGTCGGTGACACCCCCTGCCCTCGGGTGCAGGACTCTACGACCTCATGGGCAACGTGTGGGAGTGGACAGCATCACCGTACCAGCCCGCCGAGCAGGACATGCGAGTGCTCCGGGGGGCATCCTGGATCGACACGGCCGATGGCTCTGCCAATCACCGCGCCCGGGTCACCACCAGGTGAGGGCTTAGCCCATGGGGAGCAGCACAGAGGCTGGGGGCAGGGGCGGCGGCCTGGGGCGCTGGGGCTGGTGTAGCACTGCTCCTCGTCACCACCTTGCTTGCCACATGGAGACATGAGTGCAGCACTCGCTGTGACAGGCCAGAGGCCCTGAGAAGCTTGACTCTCCTGCCCCAGGGCCAATGTCATGATGTGGTGTCTCGTCGCATCCTCAGTCAGGCAGAGAGGGCAGTTGAATGGCCACGTCCACGGTGAGCCAGTGCCCTTGGCCCCTTCAGGCTGTCAGGCTCAGGACAAGCCGGGCTCTCAGCTCAGAGTCCAGGCTGTCTGTCCTCTCCAGTGCCATCTGCTTTGTATACTGATTGAGTTAATCCGACTGGCTTATAGGGGGCCCCACTGCAGGATCTAGGGGGCCAGGTTCAAAGTTCTAGCATCTCCTTACCTACTTTTTTAGTTGCTTGGTAAAGTAAAAGGCCCGTGAAAACAAGGAAGGCCCTCTGTAAGATGAAGTGACACAGCGAACATGGTGGGCTCAGGCTGGCAGGGCTCTGTTCTCTTGTATGTGAGTCAGGGTGGATTCAGGGGCCGCTAACAATGGCTCTTACAGCACACAGCAGGGGGAACCTGGTAGCCTAGAGGCCAGGATCAGCCTCCACTGACCACTCCTACCACTGGGTCACTTGTTAGCCTCTAGCAAGACACCCAGCTCACAATCTAGTCTCCGATTCAGGGTCTTCAGGACCCAGGACGGCCCTGCCTTCCAGAGCCACTGGAAACGGCAGATCTCTGGGCAGGCTCTCAAAATTGTCCAGGTCAGCGTGTGACAGCTTTGTGGAGTTTTTAGACTTGCTGTTCTACACTAGATCCACAGAGGCTCGACCCAGTGGCTGGAATAAGTGGTTCAAACCCAACAGAGATGGTGAGAAGCATGCACAACCGGGCGGCATGGGGTTGCCGTGAGCCAGAGCTTAGACAACACCCAACTCCAGTGATCTCAGACCCGTGCTCGCCCCTACCCTGTCACGGGGCTCCTCTCCCTCAGCCCTTCTCTGCCAGGAATGTGGGGGCCAGCCAGCCATCACTAGCTCCCTTCAGGTCTGCAGCCGGCCCAGGCCCACCAGCCACTGGAGGTCCTGGGTCGTTGGGCCCAGGCCTCTGTCTCAACCAGGGCTTATTCTGTCTCCCTCTCTGGGCAGGATGGGCAACACTCCAGATTCGGCCTCAGACAACCTAGGCTTCCGCTGTGCATCCAGTGCAGGCCGCCCTCACGGGGAGCTGTGAGCAGCCTAGCAGACGAGGAGGCGAGTTCCTTCCCCACAGCCCCACCATCCAGCCTCCGCAAAGGAGACTCCAGTGCACCTTCCCTCACTGCGAGGGGGCAGGGACCTCTCACTGGGGGTAGGGACCCTGGACTTTGACCTGGTGTGGAGTTGGGCACGTGAGAGGCGGCCCTGCCTCCCTCGTCCTTCTGGCTTTCCCAGCACACGCCTTTTGGGGGGAAGCCTCCTTCCTCTCTGCAGCTCTGGAAGGCACACCTCTCCGCCCTCTGCTGTTAAGTGAGTGACTGCAGGAACGCACAGTGCATCTGGAGAAGGCCGCTGCCCACGTGCAACACTGCAGACAGATTCCAGAAGCTTCCCTCGCTCTTCAGTGGTGGCCTCTGAGCATGCCCTTGGAGAGTGACCTCCTTCCAGGCTTTCACTCAGGGCTGGGTTACCCCACAAGCAAGGTGCCCCCACTCCAATCACGTGGATTCTGACGCAGAGTGGTGATATCCTTGGTTTCCGAGGCTGCAGATCCCAGCAGAGCAGACTGCCTCACCTTTATTCCGCTGCACCTGGACCTTCAGGTCAGCAGCCCAACACCTGAAGCACTGCGCCACCAGGGCTCTCCAAGCAAGCTACATGCACCATCCGGCTGTGCCTTCCTGCCGGTCTGCAGCGCAGATCTCACCTATCCCCCCACCTCAGAGACGGGCACCAGGCAGCACTGCCCACCGATGGGCAGGTGAGCAGGATTGTACCTTCTCCGTGTAGAGGCTGCTGACTGGTCCACCCGCCCAGTGTCCCTGTCCAGAAAGGTCAGTAAAGACCCCGACCGCGTGTCTCCCTCTGTTCTCTGCCTTCGCTCCTCCGCCCAGGACCCCAAGACCAGAGGGTGCCCAGGAAAGGAAGCGGATGGTGGCCCAGCTAGGACACGGGGAGGGTGGCGGTCCCCACTACCCGGGGCTGGTCAAGGTCTGTCTGTGAGGAAGCACCCCGGAGCCTGCGTCCCAGGCCTGCGCCTCCCTCCTGGCGCTTAGTCCTCGGCCAGCGCGAACAGCACGGCCTTGGGCGTGTTCTCGAAGAGCGCCGCGCGGTTCTGCTCCTGCCCCTTCTTCACCCAGTGTCCGTACATGCGGAAGGCGCAGCCGTCGATGAGGCGGCGCAGTGGCCGCAGCGCGTAGGGGTCTCGGACGACGATCTCGCGGGTCACCGGCTTGACGCGGCGGTACTGGTAGTAGATGCGCACCGCGGCCAGCACCGTCAGCGCGATCGCCTGCGGGGTTCAGGGCTGAGACCAGGTGGCCAGCCCCCCACCTCCCAGGAAAGCCAGGTGCCCGCGCGTGGCCTTTACCTTGAACTTGCCCCGGGGACTGATGTGGCGCACCTCCTCCACCACGTACTGCTGGAAGAAGGGGTGCGCGAGAGCCTCCTCCGCTGTGCAGCGGCGTTGGGGGTCCACCACCAGGAAGCGGGAGATCTGAGCTCCGGAGAGGGGCAGGGGGTCAGACAGGGCCGCTGGGGGTGCAGAGGAGGCCCCTCCCGAGCCAGGGCCCTCTCACCAGGTCCTTCACCGTGTCCGAGCAGTCGTCCCACTCCGGGGAGCCGAACTGGTAGTTGCCGTTCATGATCGACCTCAGCATGAGCGTCTGCTTCCGATGCCAGAAGGGCGGGGAGCCGGCCAGCAGGGTGTACATGATGACGCCGGTGCTCCACCTGACACGGCACGCGGCTGGAGCGCAGGCCCGGGGCACCCCCATCCCCGTGCTCCACCTGACACGGCACCCGGCTGGAGCCCGGGGCACCCTGCCCTCCCGGGGCCACACCATCCACCCCCACCCCCGGTGCTCCACCTGACACGGCACCCGGCTGGAGCCCGGGCCCCGGGACCACCCCCCATCCCCGTGCTCCACCTGAGACGGGGCACAGCACCCCGGCTGGAGTCCAGGCCCTTCTGGGGCCACCCCCACCCCAGGCACACTCACATGTCCACCTCCTTCCCATAGCCTCGGTGGTCTTGGTTCATGGAGCACTCGATGATCTCCGGGGCCAAGTAGCTGGGGGTCCCACAGACCTCTGCAGGCACATTGGAGGGAAGGTCAGCAGGAAGGATGTGGGCCTGGCAGGTCCCGAGAAACCAGGAAGAAAGAGCAGAAATGGAGCTGGAACCAGGACTCCCCTGACCCTGGGCTGGGGCACCAGCTTGGGGACCGCTGTGAAGCGGAATAGACCTGCACAGTGATGGGCTCCTTGGAGAGGAGCCTGTTCCCACTCCCACTCAGAGCTGGGGGAGAAGTCTGTGTCTCCCTGTCATGTCCCCACCTTTCAGCCGCTCCCCGGGCTCCAGCTGGCAGGAGAAGCCAAAGTCGGTGAGCTTGATGTTCATGTCATCATCCAGCAGGATGTTCTCGGGCTTGAGGTCGCGGTGCACGATGTTGAGCTTGTGCAGGGCACAGATCACCTCCAGCAGCGCCCGCATGATCTTCCTGGGTGATAGGGCAGAGGCAGAGGTCCTGGACCTCCCGCAGCCTCACGGCGGGGAGCCTGGGCCCCGCCTAGGGGCAATAGCTCTGGCATTGCCCGGCATGTTGGCCTAGCAGTTTCACCCCCACCCCACCCTCTGAGGCCATGTGTGCTACTCACCTGGTCTCCTTCTCACTCAGGGCCACCTTCTCGGTGAGGTAATCAAAGAGCTCCCCTTGCCTCATCCTGGGGCAAGAGGACAGGTGACAGATTGGTAACATGACAGTCTTCTCCTTATGCTGTCCCTAGAGAGTGACCCCAACCCTGACACCCCCAGAGGCAAAGTGGGCTGCTCCCCACGATGCACCCAGTCCTGGCTGAGGAACCAGGGAAGGAAGTGGGCAGGTCTGGGGACCTGCTAGGGAGTATCCTGAGGGGTGCGCCAGTGCTCCATCTAGGAGGAGTAACATCGTGCATGGGGGATTCCCCAAATCTGGGAATGGCATCAGGGACTGGGATTCCCTCCATCTGGGAGTGACATCCTGTACTAGGATTCTTGTGTGTGTGTGTGTGTGTGTGTACACCATCAAATCAGATCTGACTGGTACAGGAGGAGATTGCCCCCTCCTCCAGCAGAGCATCTGGAGGATTCAAACCATGTAGCTCTGGGATTGCAATGCATCATCTTGCCACTAGGCCACCAGAGCTCCTTTGTACTAAGATTCTCCACCATGGGAGTGATGTTACAGACTGAAATCTTCATCTAGAGTGATGTCATAGACTAGGGTCCCCTTCCTGTGGGAGTGACATCATAGATGGGGATTCCCCACGTGTGGTAGTAGCCATGGACTAGGCATCCCTTTATGGGACTGGCATTGTGGATTGGGATCTCTTAAGACCAAAAGCGGGAAGAAGGGGAGAAGGCTCCTGAATGCCCCAGGGAACAAGTTGAGTGGAGAAGTTGCTGCCTTTGGGGTTACCCCATGACTATGGCCCTTAGTCAACCCTCCAGCCTGGAGCTGAAATTTCTCTGACTCAACTTTCAACCAGACAATAGGCCTATTAAGGTGATCAGTGACACTGTGGGATGTGTACTGCTTAGAACAGTCACAAAGACAGCGTTTTTCCCAGAGAAAACTCAGAAGGCAGGAGAGGAGAGGGAAGAGGGAACACAGGGAGGGGCTGGGAAGAGTCCTGCTACAGTGTGGAGACTGCAGTCAATGCCTGACTCTGATGTGTCTGAACTGTCTAAAACTAGTTCGTTAACAAAAAAATAGTAGAAGTGGTGCTAGAAATACTTTCAGTCCAGTCTTCTCACCTCCTGGGGTGATGCAGAGTAAGGTCTTAGCATAACGGTCTAGTTGTTGTGGAGGACTCCTGGGGAGCATTAAAAACCCCTTCCCCAGGAAGTATCCTCAAGCTGAGGACATTTGTGCTGCCCCAGGCCACCTGCTAGACAGGACAGTCCCGGGATGTGGTGGCTGCGCACAGGTGTGGCAGGGCTGGGAACATCCCTCGTGGTTAAACACAGAAGGTCCTATGCCTCCCACTCACAGCTCCCCATAAGATGCAGGGCCTGGGGGAGGGGGAGAAGGAGTACAGGAGGAATACCCTGTTTGACCAGCACCCCAAAGAGACAAGGAAACCCTTAGTCTTGCCTGGTGAGGCAGGGAGGATGGGCCTGAACTGACAGGTAAACTTTTACACCGTATCTGTTCCTGCAAGGCAGCATGGGAATCTAGTTTTAATCATGTTAGTTCTGTCTGAGAGGCCCTTGAAACAATTAATAGGTGCCCTGGTGGCAGAGGTCAGCGGTTCAAATCCTTCAGCCATTTTTCAGGAGAAAAATGTGGCAGTCTGTTCCCATAAAAATGTCGAACCTTGGAAACCCATGGCAGTTCCCCTCTACCGTTCCTATAGTGTGTTCTAAGTCAGAATGGACTCAGTAGCAGTGGCCTTGATTTTGGTATTTAAGGAGCTCTGGTGGTGTGATGATTAGGTGCTCTGCTGCTAGCCAAAAGGTTGGTGGTTCAAATCCAGAAGGTGCATGACAGAAAAGGCCTGGTGATCCGCTCCTGAAGGATTACAGCCTCAGAGTCCCATCAGCACAGAGTCAGGAGGAGCTGGCCAGGGCAGCAGGAAAGGCTCCCCGTGGCCCTGAGCCGCCTCCTGCCTCTTGAGTGCTGGCACACGAATCGCACACATGAGCAGAATCCCTTCACAAATTCAGTACAGGCAGAGCTCAGAGATGCTGCAGGTTTGGTTCCAGATTGCCTTGATAAAGCGAGGGTCGCAATAAAGGCATGCGTATTTGTGGTTTGTTTCCCTGAGCACATAAAAATTTCTAAGTGTTCATTGTTGTGTTATTATGTGTTGTCAGACAAAACTAACTTGTAGCTGACTTTCACCTTTTTGGTGGCTGTAAATCGCATGGGAAGAGGTTGCCCATCTTTCTCCCAAGGAGCAGCTTGTGGATTTGAACCACATGCCCTTGAGGTGGCAGCTCCTTCCTTACCTCTAGGCCACTAAGTGTGCAGTTGTGGTTGTGTACCATCAAGTCGGAACCAACCCACAGCTGGCCCTCCAGTGGGTTTTCAGAGGCATTTAACTGCATGCAACGGAATTGCCCATCTTTCTTGCACAGAGCAGCTTGAGGATTTGAACTGTATGCCTTTGGGATTGCAGCAGAACTTCTTACTCTTAGGCTACTAGGTGAAAAACTTTGAAATAGCGTGAGAATGCCCAAACCGGGACCCAGAGACAGGAAGTAAGGGCATGCTGCAGGAACAGCAGTGCTGGAAGACTGGACAAGGGGGGCCTGGGACTTGGGGAAAACAGCTGTGTCTCTGAGGTGCAGTAAAGCGCAGCACAGCCAGGGCCTGTCTGCACTGCCAGCATCTGAATTGTCATGACGGAGTGATTTCTCAGTAAACCAGCCCTGTTATTGCCATCGAGGCGATGCTAACTTGGATGACCTCACGTGTTAGAACTGCTCCGAGGGTTTTCTTGATTGTCACCTTTAGTGATGTAGGTTCCGCCACTCTGCTGGCTTTCTGGATGGGGTGAACCCACAGTTCTAGGTAGGTGAGTGGTTGGTGCCACCTACTGACCTAAACTAGCAGTTGTGTGGGTTGCATCTCCAGCTGGGAAGGCAAGAGACTTCCACCCCTGAGCCCTCAGTGCCTCATTCGCTGTGAAAATGAATGACCATTGACATTTTACTTGAACCAGCCACTGTGCCAAACTTTATAAGTATGTACTAAATATAAACCTCACAGCAGCTCTGTGGGGTCTGTCATACTCTGCTAAAGCAGTATAACGTGTGTGAATTGTGTAAAAATAAGATGTTGCCCATAATACAGCTGAGAAGACTGGCACTCAGATGAATCACCCGGCTGTGAGTAGTGGTGCGCGGGCACAGTGGCTGCAGCAGTGGGCTTGCACACAGCGCTGTGGTGAGGATGGGGTGGAACCAGGCGTGTTCTCTTGCTCACGGGGTCACACAGTTGGAGCTGCCCCACCAGCATGAGTATGGGGCCCAAATCCAGACAGGACGCCTGAGCCCGCGGCTAATCTGCCTGCGGTCCAAGGTGGAGGGGTGGCCCTGGCTTCTGGAAGCTCTGGGCAGGTTTTCTCTGCTGGTCCCCAGAGGGGGCTGGCTCCGTGGCCAGGTACTTACAGGTCAAACACCAAGAAGAAGAACGTGTTGGTTTCATAAGTATCCTTCAGCTGGACTGAAAGGGAAAGACCAGCTGGTCTCACTGAGCAGCTGTGCAGGGCAAGGGGTCTAGGCTGATACAGGCTGGGGGCATTAGCGAGATGGAGCTCCAGGGGTATCCAGCAAAGGGGTGCCTAGCCCAGATCTTTGGCCCCGTTCCCACCCTCTCTCTGGCCAGGAACCCCAGTTGATCCAACAGAAGTGAGGGTGGATAGAGGAGACCCCTTCACCCTCAGGGTACTGGGCTGGTGGTAGGCTCTCAGCAAGTAGGAGCCACCTGGTGGGTCAGACTGGACAGGACAGGACTGAGGAGTGGTCGCCCACCCTGCCTCCCAATCCTTGAGTCTCGTGCCAGCACTCACTGATGTTGGGGTGCCCTGAGACCTTCTGTAGGATGTCCACCTCCTTCAGTGTGCCCTCTCGCAGCTCCTGCGCCTCCTGGGAACTGAAGCTGCCTCCACCTGTCACGTCGATGATTTTCACGGCATACTCCTGGCGCGTGGGCTTGTGAATGCAGCGCCTGACCACGCTGCTCACGCCCCTGGGGACACAGAGGGCAATCAGTTGTCCTTGTCTCGTGATTTCCACTCTTTCAAATCCCAGGGAGCTCTGGTGGCAAATTGGACAAGGAGTGGAGCTGCCAACCCAAAAGCAGGTCGAGTCCTGCTCCATGGGAAAAGATGGACGGTCTTCTCCCCGTGAATTACAGCCTCTGAAGAGCACTAGAGGCTCAGCTACGAGGCAGTTGCTACTTGATGACATTGTGTTGGATTTTTCTTAAGTCCCACGGAGGTTTTGGCAAGTGGATATGAAACAAAGGAGTGCCCAGGTGGTTGATGGGCTCAGCTATTACTCCAAAGCTTGGAGACACAGGTCTGTCTTGAGAGAAAGACCTGATGATCTGCTATGTCATAGACTGAGTTTATTACCGGATGAAAGTATGTAAGTGGAAGCTCAGTCATGACCCCCATGGTCTTATAAGCCAACTCACATGAAAAGATTAAAGGTGTAGGCAGCATGCCTGTCACAGCCCTCTTTAGAGTGTGGCCTGTAACATCGTTTATCTCACAAGAGTTAAAAGTGAAGGAAGTGGAGCCAGGAGTAGGCAACTCAGTGCCACTAAGAAAGAATCGCCAGGAGTGGAGTGTTTGAACCCAGGTCCCTGCTCTGCGAAGCTCCTTGACATTAGAGAAGGTAGTTCCAGCCCTTAAAGATACTAAAGGAGATATTGACCTTTTGTGAGAACCAACAGAAAAGGCCTCCCCCTGGACTCCTCCAATGATGCATGAGTTGTGGGGTGCATTGGCTGGAATTGAACCTGGGTCCTTCACCTGGAAGTTCTCATGTTCCATTGAGTCAAGTGCAACTCATAGTGACGGACCAATCTGAACCTTGCCCTGTCTTGTGCCATCTTTACCATGTGTCAGTCTATCTTGTTGAGGGTCTTCTTTTCTCACACTGACCCTGCACCTCACCAAGCCTGTAAGAAGAGGGTTCTATCACTGAACTCCCACTGTCCTGCTTAGTATTGTGTCCATATGGCCATGATTCTCGGTATAATCTAAATATTCTAGGTATTGTAAATCCTGGCCTGTACAATGTTAATAAGCATTACAAGCAGTTCTGTAACAGTATGATTAGCCCTGTCTGATTAAGAGAAGGTTCCCTCAGGAGTGTGGCATTTAGGTTTGGACTCTGGCAAAGAGCTCAAGAGCTTTTTGTCAGGTCTACATTTGGGCTTTCTGGCTCGAGGTCTCCAGACTTAGACCAGTGGGCATGACTTTGGACCCATTGCTCTCTGAAGCCCACTGTCTGTGACCCTGCTTCCCAACTGTCTCCTGTGGAAGTGTCAGGCTCTGAGGTCAGCAACCTCCACAGGCAGCAGCCTGAACCTTGCCAGCTCTCAGCCTAGACTCTGCCCTCCCAGGCGCCTCTCCCTTGGCATTTGACCTACTTACTGAGAGTTGTTTCTGTAAGAATATGCACCATTTCCTTGAAATCTCTCCATACACTTAAGCACATCACCATCAAGTCAGAGCTGACACATAGTTGACCCCCCCTGTGGGTTTTCAGAGGCTGTAAATCACACAGAAGAGATTGTCCGTATTTCTCCCTTAGAGCAGCTGGTTGGATTTGAACTGCCAGAAGGATCACTTTTGGGTTAGAGCACAGCTCCCTACAGATGATGCCACCCGATCTCTGTACATAGGCTCAGTACAGTGTCCGAGTGCCTCCACTTAGGGGTGGTCTGGGGTGTGAGCCTGCAGGAGCTGCTGGGGGACGGACTGCCTCACCTGCCAAGGATCTCCTTGGGCTCATAGTTCTCATAGAAGCCCTGTGCAGAGTGGGAGTCCGGCAGCGCCTCGTCCCGGGTCATGCTCAGCTGGTGGAGGGACGTTGAGGGGATCTGCGAGGGGTACAGAAGGAAACTGTCAGATATTGAATAGTGTCCTCCCCCCAAAAAACCATCTCAACCAAGTGAGGCCATGATTCTCAGTATTACCTATGTGATATAAATGCTGACCTACAGGGTGTTCATGAGGGAGCTCTAGTGGCCTGGTGGGTAAGGAGTTTCACACCCAACCCAAAGACAAGTGGTGCAAATGCACCAGCCGCTCTGCAGGAGAAAAACGGGTGATCTCCTCCCATGTGACTGACAGCCTCTGAAAATCTGCTGGAGGTTCAGCTATTGACTGGTTGGTGGCAACAACATGATGTTAATGAGGCAGGCATAGAGGCAGATATGCATTATTTTTTTTGTGTGTGTACCATCAAATCAGATCTGACTGGTACAGGAAGAAATTGTCCCTCCTTCTCCAGCATCTGGTGGGTTTGAACTGCTCACCTCTGGGATTGCAGTACAGCTTCTTGCCACTAGGCCACCAGACCTAGCCTAGACAGATACGTGTTGATGTAATTATTCCCCCTGATGTGATCAGCTGTGGGGGGGATGAGGTTGGATTCCCCACCCTTATCAGGTCACAACCCTGGGCTAAAAAGTAAGGGGAGTTTCCTTGGGTGTGGTCTGCATCACCTTTTCTCTTACAAGAGATAAAAGGAGAGAAAAGTGAGCAGAGGTGAAGGGAACTCAGAACCACCCGAAAAGAAGATCCAGGAGAAGATCGTGTCCTTTGGACCCAGGTTCTAGGCTGGGAAACTCTCAGAACCTTGAAACGTTGAGATGAAGCCTCCATAGAGCAGGTACCTTGAATTTGGACTTCTACCTCCTAGCCCGAGATAGACATTCTGGTTGATTAAAGCCATCCTTTCACCTGTAGTAGTTCATTACAGCAACACTAGAGAACCGATGTAGAATTCATCTCTCTCCTGGTAGGAGGGCTCTTGAGCAGTAGAGCTGCCTCCCATTCCTGCCTGTACCTCCTCCTATGAGGCTGGTAGGGGAGTGTTTAACACCCAACCAGCCTGCATATCACATACCCAGCTGACCCTCCCCGCACTCTCCCACACAGACCTTTGGAAACAGCTCCCTGCCTTCTTCCCTGTAATCTCCCCTGACCACCTGCAATCATATGGCTCCCCCAAAGTCGTCTCCTCACACAGTTCAGAGTGGCCCAGGCTGGTCCTGATCGAGTAGCCAGGTTCTGAGGTCAGCTCTGGCCAGTGGCACCATTTTGAACTTGGGTTTTGTTTTTTTTTCCCCCAGCACTAATAGAAAAGACTTTAATGCAGGTTAAAAATACACACAAAACTATAATTAAAGCCTGGAAGCTCCTCAGCCTCTAAAATCTTGACTCATGCAGTATCTAACACGTTTTTACCCCCGTGATAACTGGGAAGCCCCAGGAGATAATATGGATCATTTGAGTTCTGTTGTTGTGGTTTCGGTTTGCAGACTGGTTTTGGCAGCCCTGCAGCAGGGACGCCTGTGGTACTGTATTCCCACCGGCACATGCTCACTTCATGTCTCTGGTCTATTTCGGTCATTCTCACAGTATTTCTCACTTTTTCACTCACTTAATAGACAATAAACCCCAAAGACCAAACCCTTTGCTGTCGAGGCAGTTCTGACTCCATTGGGCTGCCAAGACTGTAAATCCTTCCGGGAGGAGAGCGCCCCTCCCTCCAGAGGCGCAGCAGCTCACCTTTAAGCCGCTCACCTTTGTTAGCAGCCTGATTACATTGTAAGCCACCGGGACTCCTTTAATAGTGGTGGAGTATAAACAAAACTTTTTGCTGGGCTTCTACAGGAGCCAAAACATTCATGTGACTCTTGATTGCAGCCTTTGCTTTACTGGGGGGTGGGGGTCTGGAATTCAAGCTGCCGTCTGCTATACTGCCAGGACTGGGAGGACGTAGGAAAATGGGGCCCAAGCTGCTTTTTACTGGCTTTCACCACCCTTTCCGGGCCACCAGAGGCCTGGTGTCAGAGGGACTGTTTTGCTGACCAGCCAAAGCTTGTGCTGGCTGCCTCTGGATCCGGCTGCCTGTTCTGTGCCAGCCCGGTGTCCTGGTGCCCGCTTGGAGTGAGTGCCGCTTACCAAAGAAGGCTTGGAACAACAGCCTCCCCTGCCAGCAGCACCCGCTGCTCCAGGCCGCTCCACCTGCTGTACCCCTACCAGCCCCAGAGGAGCTGTGGCTGCACAGACAAACCCACCTCTTCACAGGTGCTTTGACTCCTAGGTGGGCCCTGGGCAACCCCTCCCCTCAATCTCCCAGCCTGGCCAGCATCAGCCTCCTTTCTTGGGGAGAGGAATGGGATTGGGTCTTTGCGAGCAGGGGATGTATTGGGACCCACCATGGGATGCCATCCTAGGTGCTCCACACTGGCAGCTTCACTGAGTGCCAGCTGCACCCCGTTCCCCCAGCCCCCACTTACACCAGCACCCGCATTCCACAAACTCCAGGGGAGAGGATTCCCCAGGGGAATAGGTGGGCATCCTGACCTTTTCTGAGACATCACATCCCTCCCCCAGACTCAGGTGGAGAGCAGAGCTGGGGGAGTAGGGGGCCAGGAAGGGGGAGAACACACACTGGATTCCTCCCTGAGGAGGGACTGCAGAGTCTGCACAGCTGTGTGGGGGCAGGGTGGTCTCCAGTTCTGGGCCACCACAGCTGGGAGGGGTTTGTTTGTTCATCCTCTCTCTCTACCTCCCTCCCGACTCCAGGCCTCAGTCCATCCCTGGGACTGTACTCACCCGCCAGGTCTTTGAGTGAACTTGAAAGGAACCCTAGAGGTGCCCGAGCCCCTAGGACAGAGGAGACCAGGCGGAGGCCGGAGCAGAGAACTGAGTGGCAAGTACTGTGGCTGGGGCTGAAGATCTTGCTGTTTTCAGGCTTTGTTACTTGATGCCCAGAGTCTAATGTGCCAGAAATAAATCACAGCACAGCCTGGGAGGCGGGCCAAGGCTCGGCTGAGAGCGGGCAGTCAGCAAGTCCCTCCGCGGGGCAAGCCTGGGTGGCCTGGGGACAGGGCAGGACAGCAGGCAGTGGCCACTCTTCACCCTGAGCTCATGCGGCCTCCAAGCCTTGCCAGGAATGCCTTGCTGCGACACTTTGTGTGCTGGACCTCATCACCCAGAGCAGCTCAGCACGTGACCGCTGCCAGGAGGGAGTCTCCGTAGCATCCAGAGGGGCCCAGACCACAACCACGTTCCTGTGGGTTATTTTGAGTGAAGGTTTACAAATCCTCTTTCATTCGTAGACATTTTGTTTTATAACATTACACTAAGTAGCTCCTTATTTCCCTTCACTCAACTCAGCTATTCATTTTTACTTGCTGCACCCTCCCCCTTCACCCTCCAGGATTGATTCTTGGGTGTAGTGGCCTTAGACCATAATTGACCTTTTACGACTGCCTTAGAATTTTAGATTCATTCACGTTGTACATTGTTTCCCAAATTCTTGATGGTTTTTAGTGCTGCCTAATACTCCACTGTGAGCATACCAGCTGAGAGGAGACGGCCATAATCGCCCAGGTTCGCCCCACCCAGGGTGGCTGTGATCCTTTGGCCAGAGCATGGTGCTGTGTATGTGAGAGTTGTGTTGTGGCGGTCTCTGGAGAGGGGCGACTCTGCCTCCAGGAGCCAGGGAAGCCACGCTTAGCCTTGGGTTGAAGGCAGCGTCTTCAAGCCCCAGGGGAGAAGAGGAGAGAGGAGACGACCACTTAACAACATCAACAGAGACAGATCAGCTGGCCCAGTGAAGAGAAAACGATGTGACCAAGACAAAGGTGGGTGACTTTTAGTTTGTGGCCCTCCGGCCAGTCTTTCATTGTTTTTGTTCAGACATTCCAGCAGATTTTCTAATACTGTAAACTGCATGGGAGGAGATTGCCCATCTCTGTCCTGTGGAGCAGCTAGTGCATCTGAACTGCATGCCTCCTTAGGGTTGCAGCAGTTTCTCACCACTAGGCCATCAGAAACTCTACTAGGTATTTAGTAACATGAAATTTTGAAATACTGAGAACCACCGATACCTAACAAGAGATCTGAAGTGAAGCTATGCTGTTGGGAAAATGGCACCAATAACAAATAGATGTGCATGCTGGCGGGCTGCCAGAATGGCATCGGCTGTGCTGTGGTTATCAACCTGGCTGGCCAGGGCTCTCACGACTGATGGTTATGCATTCTTCCTCTTTCTACAGCCTGATTTGTTCAGCTTCTGTTTTGTTCCATTATGTTAAGTGATGAGTGTGTGTGTACTAGGCTATGGAAATACTATCCTGATCCAGTCTGAGGACACACAACCAACTGTGTAATGGGCCCATTGTTATACCCACCCACACTCACCTGTGGGTGAGTCATTCACCTGTCATTGGACATCTTGTAGCACATTATTTACAGTTTTTGGTTATGGCTATAAGACCACTTACATATAGCATGTTTGCTAGTGTTCGAGGCTGTATCAACATCACATGCTATGTTGTGTTCCACCTATGCCATGACCACACCCAGCACACATGTATATGTCACACTTGATAAGCACATATGACAATTCTTGGAAGAAAATAACTTTATACTTTATTTAGTTCAAGTAATTACACATCACAAGTAGTTTAAGGAGGCCACACAAACACCAGTTGGTTCTAGTGTCATCATCTCAGTCACCAACAGATTCTAAAGTAGGGGTGCTATGAGGGATGGACAAGCGCTGACGGGCACGTGTACCGGAGACAATGTCACTATTCATTTTAGTTTCATGTGGAGTTAACGCAGTTCTGAAACAAAGAGGAAGCTGGAGTTAGACAACCACTAGGAGCGTGGACTCAATAAACCAAGTCTTTAAAGGGTGAGGGAAGCTGACTATCAAATTTAATAATAGTAGACCAAATGCTGTATCAGGAAATGAGAGAAGCTTAATACAAGCTGAAGGTCACCTTGTGGCATTGGGGGTTCCCTAGGAGTCAACATTGTTCTTAGTTTGTGTCAAATGAATCCCTCCCTCTTGAGATTAGCATAAAGAGGAACTTGGCCTTATCTGTAAAAGACTTCACCATTCCTTTGTACTTCCTTGTGATTTTACTTTGCTCACCTTCGTTATGATTCTAAATAAATACTCAGAGAAGCATGGCTTGGGGCCTTCAGTCATGGGAACTGCTGGCCCCCTGTTTTTCACACTCTCTGTTCTATATCATTCCTGGTAGTCTGTCTCATTATTAATAATTATAAAATTATTTCATTCTTTGGACCCTCGGTCTGCAACAAAAGGGGTATAAGGATTCAGGGCTGCTATCTGAGTTTACTAAATGCATTCTGCAGCCAAGACCTCAACTCTCCGACTGCCCACAGGGAGTGAACTGAAGGCATAACTCCTTGTGTGACAGTCCTGCAGCCGAAGCCCATGTCATGGTGGACAGAAGGGAAGTTGCCTCCGATTTCTAATAAGCCTGGACATGGAATCTCAGCCTCACAGCTCAATCATCTGAAGAGATTAACTCCTCCCCCACTGCCTACCTGAATGAACGAGGAAAATGAAACAACTTAACTGAAATCTTGGGTTCCCCAAAGTCCCACTGAGGGATTCCAGGAACACCCCTCTCCAATGAGGTCCAGAGAGCTCTAGCAGAGTCCTGGTGCCGACTGCTCACCATCTCCCACTAACCTTTTTACTGACTGGCTCCTCCCTCCATGAGAAGAAATTCAGTCCCTACAGTTTCTAGCTTTTTTTTCCCCCATTTGTCAGCTGTGGCAAAGACACAGTTTTGGATGTCCAGGCGGGAGTCCACATGGATTAGCCTCAGTAATGAGATCTGGCACACACAGTAAGCCTATCTAAGAAGACTCAAAGCTCAAGGCAAAACTTATAAGCAATTCACACATACTGATGGGGTACCTGTCAAATCTGACACTCAGCCAACTCTCTCCTGGTTTCTCAAGGAGGAGACTGCCTGTCTTCCCCCCAAGGGCAGCTGGTGGACTGCCATGTGCAGGAGCTCAGGTGAGTGTATGATGAAGGACCTACCCCGCGCTGCCCGGCACTGCTTCAGCACCTCCATGAAGCCCTCACAGAGGCGGAGGTCGCTCTGGTTGTTGGCGCACTCCATGAACTGCTTCATCTCGAAGGAGCAAGGGCCAGCCTCCACCTGGGATGCCGACTGGTATGGCTCCTGCAAGACAGAACATTCAAGACCACTAAGAAAGGACAGCTTCCACCCAGAAAGCAACACTTAACCATTTCCTGATGCTAATCAGGTATGGGGCTCTAATAAGAGCAAATGAAGGGAAAGTTTCCATCCAGTAATCCAGGAAGAAAGCAAACCTAAAGCTAGGAAGCAAGTGAGGTTGAGCAAAACCTGCTGTAATGAGAACTGAGATACAAAGAACAGGTAAAATGCTTATCTGGGCATCACAAGACCGGACACTTCAGTGTGGCTCATGAAATGGAGCAAAACCAAATGATGTTAAGGTCTAAGAAACAACCGAATACAAAGCCAATCTCCTTAATGGAAAAAAAAAATCTCCACTACCTTGGAGACAAGGGTCATGACAGATACAAGACATCACATAGCATTAAGGTGCTTTTGAACACATAACCTAGAATGAGACCAGACGAACACTCGAGGTAAGATTGACAGTAATGCTGTTTCACACCAAGTCATGCTGGTCGCTCCTTAGGAAGAGACACTGAAGGCTCTCCTGGATCCCCCACTTCCCATTAATGGCACGTGGACTCTAAAATCAGAGCCTAGTCACCAGATTTTCAAATACACATTTCGTGAGAAAACTGTAAGGCAAACCTTACCTGGTAAGTAATGTCAGGCCTGGCTGGCTCGTTACTGCCTCCACTTAAGCCTCCAGTGATGGCATGGCCCAGTGTGTGCCCAACGGCAGAGCCCACGGCCACACCAGCAGCCGTGGACGCCATCTGGGCCATCAGGCCAGGCTGCCGGGGTGCGGCTGCAGGGGCCCCAACTGCAGATTGTGGGGCCGGTGCTGGCGGCTGAGCTGCTGGTGCTGGCCGGGGAGCGGCTCTCATCTGAGGGGCCCGACTGCAAAAGGGACAAAGAACAAAAGTGGACTAAGTTCTACTTGCAACCAGGTTTTAAAAGTACCAGCTTTCAAACAAACCTCAGGGAGTTCTGTTTTCATTTCACTTAAACTTATTATACATAAACACCTGTATGCGCGCGCGCACACACACACACACGCACGCACAATTTCATTATTTCTTTTATTAAAGCTGCCATCAGGAAGTATGTCATTTCTGTGGCGTGTTTGGGTTGACCATTTCCAATTTGTCATACAACCCACATGAAATACTAAAATCATAGGGTTAGAAAGATCTCAAAAAGAATTTACTCATTCAAATGTTTATTAGGCAGTGGACATTTTGTTTAGAGCCAGCACTCCTTGGAAGGTCAGTGACGGAGAGAGATTACCACAGACTCAGTCAATGCTGGGCTCAAACACAACTGTCATCGCGGGCTTCTCAAACTGGGCTGTCAGAAGCTGGAGTGAACTCCACTGCACCTAACAACTGCATGTAAGGGCCTGGCCTAGGTGCTGGGGGTCAGTGGGGAAGAGCAAAAAGTTATCTTCCGGAAGCTCATGTGTCTGGAAAAATCAGTTGGACAAAATCTGTCATGGTGTTAAGAGAGAAGAAAAGGGGAGATGAAAAAAATAAAGTTGTAATGTCTGTACCATCAGGGAGGCCTTCCAAAACACATGATGTGTGAAATTAAAATCCAAAGACTGTCCTCTGTGCAAAGAATTTATTCCAATTTCTTCATCTAACTGAGTAGGAATCAGAAACCAATAGAGGATAGCAACCATACCTCATCTGTAGAACGTTAGTGTCATAAACGTTCAAGCATCAGGCTGTCAGTGGTTCCAACCCACCAACGCCTCCTTGGGACAAAGAGGAAGGCCTTCCTCTGTTTCCACAACGGACAAGCTATGACAGTCCCACGGTGCCGCCACTCTCTGGTGTCCACTCAACAGTGGTGGTTGTGATTTGAGGTTTTTGTAGAACATCTGGATAGTTTTAATACTTTGACTACTTCTAATGCTGTACTGAGATAACCTGGGGTTGCTGTGATGCTGAACCTGGTGCCACTGGGGTGTCAAACGCCTTAATGGTTACCCGTGGTGGACAGTGTTTGGTGGAGCTCCCAGTTTAAGACAGGTCTGACAACAGGAGTGGCATCCACTTCCTAAACACCATGTCTCTGTGGACTTTGGTAAATGCTGTAGAGGGGCTTGAGGCCTTTTGTTCATGTGGTCGCTAGGAGTCATGCTCGACTCAAAGGCAATCAACAACAACAACACTGCTCTAAAAATCTTCACATAAATCATGTTCACTATCAGGTTTTAGATTCTTGATCTGGTACTTTTGCAAAACAGTGTCATGTCACAAACCTAACTTTTCAACAAGTAGCACCTTACTACTTAACGTACTCGAATCTCAACACAATTTGCCTTTATGCAGAGAAGCCAATGGGAGGCTGTGCTCAACGTTGAGACCAGGCCTCTCTACCTGGCTGGAACTCGTCCTGGGATAAGTCTCTTATTCTCCAGTTTCCTTATTTCTGTAAGAAGGGATTAGCATCCACCTCAAAGGTTATCCCGCTAGCTTCTACAGTGGTCACGTGACAGCAGGCCACGTGCCCCGTAAAGGTGCTTCGTCACGGCAAGTGCAGCCAGCTGATGCGCTATGCTTTCCCCGGGTTACGTCACCTTCCCGAGGCGTCCGTTCCCCTCCTCCCCCTTTCCACCTTTTCGTTCCTTTCACTTTACAAAAGGCCATTTCTTCCTACAATCTGCCTGTAGCAACCTAAAACGAGCTCCTATTTTAAGAAATCGGAAACATTCCCAGATCGTGCTGACCCTGCGCCGGGTGGGGGTCTGGAGGGGACACCGTGAGCGGGCTCAAGCGGCTCCCGACACCCCCAAGCCGAAGGCGGGCTTCGGACCCCCCAACCCA